ATCAACGCCTAACAATAACTTTTATGCATTTTGTGTATGGCAAAATAGGTCATTGGACTTTAAGCAGTACTTTAATTGACTGAGAAAGTCTTCTGTACTACTTTTATATTTTTGTTTTTTTCATTTTCTATTAATCGCCAAAGTTGTTGGCCATAATTATTGCTTTCTCCTCTTTTTGTGAACCAGAAGTTTCACGTTGTATGGCTTGCAAAAAATTCAGGCTTAATTTGTGGATGGTAGTTTAATAGCAACTTGGTTTGCACTTCAATCACTCTGTAGCATGGGTAAGGGTGGATGGTTTCTCTAATTTTGGCCACCCTATTGTGTTTAAATGTTTGTAAGCTCTTTAAATTCATAAAATCAAGAACAAATCTTAAAGGATTAACTAAGATTTGACAATCCATCTCACACCTGACGCCAATCTTAGAGTCATTCTGTTCCCAATCATAGATCACAATGATCTGAAAGATTAACGGCCTTGTTTGCCCATTCATCCCCTCTTGGGGCAAAATGGTTTGATGCATTTCTTAAAAATGAGGCAAATCCCAATCATAGTTGATTGGTTAGGTGATCAAAATAACCCTCAACTTAGGCATCTTCATTCAGAATGAATAAAGATAAGGTGTCCCCTTCATCCATTATCTACTTCAGCAATATTACCTTTTTTTGTATAAATTTGACCCATAGGTTTACAAAATTCGGCAGCCCATATATAGCATCTAAATATGCAGTGGAATACAAGGAAACGTTCTCTTTTTTTATTTGAAGCTTTACATGCATACCACTCGATTCTTCCGTATTTGTATATCTTATGAAAACACCAAATAACGCGCTTTCCATCTTCAAAATCTTCGAGATATGCAGTGGGTAATCAGAAGTTTCTTATATAGCTTGGATACATGGAAGTTCTTATATAGCTTAGAAATCTTTATATGGTTGCTTTATATAGCTTGGTTAGATGAGAAATGTATGCGTCTGTTGATATAAAACTGATTTATTTCTAGTGTTGTTAGGAGAAAATCCTTACTCATGCAACTCTTTGTGCTTTATTCTTGGTTCCAGTATCATGCACTACAAAATGTAACGACACTATGGTATCGTTATGGAAGCATCTAAAATTTGTAAGCAATCTGTATGTAGCTTGGATGACAACCGCTACTATGGTATGACCCATTGGGGTCGAAATTAGGGTATGTTGGATTCAATGTTGGTCGAAATTTTGGATGGTTTCAATTTTATTGATATGGTTTCTTTTCGATAGGATGATCATTGTTCTTCTTCCATCTTTCGAAATTTTGGATGGTTTCAATTCAAAATCCCTTTTTAGCTTTCTTTGTAAGTTATAGATTTCTTCTTCATCATTTAAATTTTTTTATATCATCAAGTTGAAGCACTGTATAATATCCTAAACATGAATATGTAATCACCCTGTATTAATGTTTCGATGCTCCTATGCAATATTAATATTTTTGTAAATATTAATGTTTCAGATTGTTATATGAACTTAAAGTGATATTTTGTTACTCTTATGAAGTTAATAAGAGTGGTCTTAGATGCAGGTGACCAAATAACTCTGTTGCAACAATTGCTTTCACAATTTGGTATGTTAAGTTTTTTTTTTATTCCTTCAAATTTTTGACTGATTAACACTTTTTAACATAATTGCAGGACAATGAGCTCGAGATATTCAGGGAAGTCGAATTCTACAGGTGCCCGCGGTGGGGACAAGGACCGGACGACTGCAAATTCTTCAGGTGGGCCGACAGTGGAACTATTTCTACGTGCTCCCAATTGGACACAACTGCTAGGAGTTCAATAGTGCCACAACAGGAGAACGCCACATGTGGTTCGAGTTCTTCCATTTCTAGAATATCGCAGTCGGACAGGTTTGCTCAGGGTTTTGGAGTGTCAGATGCAGGTGGCATGGGTCGTGATATGCTGCTACATTATAAAGTCAACATTATCATATTTCTACTTATCATTTTAACATGTTATTTTTCTTCTTTATGGGCTCTTATTATATTTTGTAGTAATATGTACATATGTGTTTGACTTTTGTATGTGTAACATATTCGTTTGATGTGATCGGATATGTTTTAGTTATATGAATATAAATCAATTTTTGGGTATTTTCTTGTCTGAACAGTTATTTTTAATTTTGTTTAGAAAAGAACAGATTCTGTTGCACAGATTATACATTTAATGAAAAAAATTTTCAAATAAACTGTTTACAAAACGCACTAACCAAACAGCTAAACTGCTTATTCAGAACAGAGGCAAAATGATCAATTTTTCACAATCAGCTGTTTTCCATAAGCGCCAACCAAACAGCCAGACAGCTTATCTGGATCAGCTGCTCATCAGCAGATTATCAGGATAAGCTGCTTATCAGCAGAAGCTGGATAAGCTGCAGCTGCCCCAAACAGACCCTTAACCGAGCTTAAATTCTCTTTAAATGAAGCGACCAAACACCACCTTAGTGGGATTTAGAAAATTATATAAATTTCAATTTAATAAATCCTGAAAATTATTTGATATGATGAATTGCTTGGCAAATTGTTCAAGTATTTAATTTTATTTGTTTGAATAAAATTTTAATTTTAATTATTAATTATTAATTATTAATACATTAAAGGTGATTAAAATTACAGCTTTTGCTTTCTCATTTTGTTGTTGTCCTTTACAAACATACCCCCCAACTCATAAGTATTTACATTTATACCACCCAAATCTACTTTCACGAATAGGTAAAGTGGCATGTATTTAAATGTGGTATTTATGTAAATACATAAGAAGTGAGTGGTATGTATGTAATTTTTATTTAAAGTAAGATTATTTTAATAAAGTTCTTTGCATTTGCTTTGCGTGAGGAGTCAAATTTGAACGAGTCTTGCGCGGAACACGTTTTAGTTAAGGGTTGGAAGACTTGTGATCACATGAGGCCTTGGTCTGGTTTGACTTTTCTGCATCTATTTGCATCAGTTGGACTCAATCCAAGTCAACCCAATATGGCTCTTTCGTATAACGGTCGGAAGATATGATACGAGCCCCTGACCACCCTCAACCACTTGATCCCGCGCTGCAAAGCAGATGCACTCAGGTGGGCTCGAAACCGTGACACCTGGGGACTTAGAACTGACTTTACAGACACAATTTGCTGAATAATGTTGAGAAGATATGGGATCGCGCCTAGCTTGATTTGACGAAAGAAAAAGAGTTCAAACTCAAAGATACGTCAAACAACTCGCCTACGAACACAATTTAAATACAACACAACCCAATATTAAAATAAAAACTATAACATATGAAGGAATAGCTAAAAAAATACGAAAGAGGTGCACTTACAACAAGAGCATGAGCTTCTCTTATGATTGGAAATCATCAAAGCTCGCACTAATCTCGATATAAATAGAAAGGAACAATAATAAAAGAAGTTACATGAAAAAGAAAAAACCAAACAAAATAATAGAAAATAAAGGCTACAAACAAAATTAAAATGAATCAAATATATGTATAATCAAAATATGCACTAAAACAAAGATCAATAATAGTAAAAATCAATTATATGATCACAACAAAAACAAAATTAAAATGAATCAAATATACATATATTCCCATGTATCCTAATCGACCGGAATGATCTATTCAAGGCTTAAAAAACTAGACCGAACCAGTCAGTTTAACCAGTTCTACTGATGTTGGTCCATAACTAAGCAAGTAGAAAACCGTCTCTGCGTCAGACCGACCAGAATCGGACTGAACCCGCTTTTATATTTAAATTTTGGAAATCTATTACCAAGGATTTGAATTTTTGAGAAATACAGAAATTAATTTGGGAAATCCAATGAAACTTTAAGTTCTCATTTTATTGATATGAAGAATCTCTAGAGCCAAAACTAACTATATGGAAGAAAAGGTAGCTAGTACAATTTCTATGTGGATTTTTTGGAATATTTACATGCATGCCACTCAAATCTTATTTGTTTACATATCTAACACCTAAACTTGTATTTTTTATATTTTTAGAAATATTTACATGCATACCACTCAATTCATTTTTATTTACATATCTAACACCTAGACTTGTATTTTTCTATGAATATATCACTAAAATAATATTTAAAAATAAAAAAAAATTAAGAATTTACATGCATAGCACTCAAATCTTTTTTATTTACATATCGAACACCTAAACTTGTATTTTTTTTTTTTATATTTTTAGGAATATTAACATGCATACCACTCAAATCTTATCTATTTACATGTCTAACAACTAAACATGTATTTTTTAAAAATATAACTCTTAAATACTTTTTAAAATAAAAAGTTTCAGCATTTACATGCATACCACTCAAATCTTCTTTATTTACATATCTAACATCTAAACTTGTAATTTTTTACATGCATACCGCTCAAATCTTATTTATTGACATTTCTAACACCTAAATCAAATTTTTTTTATTAAATATACCACTTAAATGATTTTTAAAAATAAAACTTATTTACATTTCGAACACGAGCGAACAAAGAGTTGTTCGTGTTCGACTAGTTTTTGCTCGAAAAAAAAAATATATATATATATAATTATTTATGTAATAATATATTATATATATTTATATCTAAGTTGAAACATAACTGCTCGTGTGGTAATGTGGTTATGCATCTTTATTTGCATATATTTGATCTAGATTCAAATTCAGCACTATATCTATTTTTTTCAGTTTAATTTTAACGAGTCAATTTCAAGTTGAACAGGAGCCGAACACGAACAAACTCTTCACGAGCCAATTTTGAATATGAACAATTTCAAAGGAACCGAATACGAGTCAAAGCCTGAGATCGCTTAAGCTCGAAGAGGAACCCAATTCTCATTTCAATGTAAATAAAAAAATTGCAACTTTATTCAAGTTGCACGGAAGAATTAAGTATGGCAGGCCAGACCAGCAAGAAAATTCTACGCTGCGCTGCGCTTTCTCCGCAGCCGACCAACTTCTGGACGAGCGAGTTCCCCGTCAACCACGACATCAAATCAATCCGGCCACCTTCGAAAAGTCTCAAGTCTTCCCAACGTCAATACTCCCTTCGCCCTCAATCCATTACCTAACCCTAACACCCATCTATAAAAGTCCGCCATTTCCCACCACCTTTCCCCCACTCTCCTCTGTTCCCCTGTTCTAATTCATGGCGGTCCCAAAGTCGCAACTTTTGGCCGCCGCCGCCGCGCTTCTCCTCGCATCCATCTCCCTCGCTGGAGCGCAGAACTGCGGTTGCGCGCAGGACCTCTGTTGCAGCAAGTACGGTTACTGCGGCACCGGAACGCCATACTGCGGCGATGCCTGCCAATCGGGGCCCTGTTATAACTCGCCGCCGTCCAGCGGTGGCGGCGGGGTTTCGGTGGCGGATGTGGTGACGCAGGCGTTCTTCGATGGTATAATCGGGCAAGCAGGATCGGGCTGCGAAGGGAAAACGTTCTATACTCGACAGGCGTTCTTGGATGCGGTTAATCAGAAATACTCTGATTTTGGGCAGGACGCCACCGCAGACGACTCCAAGAGGGAGATCGCCGCCTTCTTTGCCCACGTTACTCATGAAACCGGATGTAAGCTTTTTTTTATTATTATTATTATTTTATTATTACATAAGTTTGCATTTATATCATCACAATACCACACGTGTTTCATCCGCACATAATATTTTTTCGCCGTGCAGACGATAGTATAGATCGCACCACGTCTTCGAATGCATCACGTGATGCGATCTGCACCATCGTATGCACGTATGATTATCCTATTATGACAAATGATGAATAGTCAACAACCACATTAGGTTCAATAACTAAAAAAATAAGGATTTGTTTGGGGGTCGTTGCAGCTGTTTAAAGAAGCAACTACGAAACTGGTGCGACATAAATTGTTGTTAAAAAAGTTGGGTGGTTATTAATATATACTTTTTTAAGTCAGACCGTAACTTTTTAACAATCACCTAACTTAGCCAGATCAAATTACAAAACACAACTTCTCACTACATTTTTTTTAAAAATACCTCAAAGTACAAGGTAACCATCACAATTAGCTTGATCAAGTTGTAAAACACAGTTTTCTACTGTAATTTTTTGAAATAATAGATAAAAAATATAATTTTATTTAGCGAGATAAAGTTGTAAAATACAACCACAATATCCAATTTAAATTGTAAAACACAGCTTTTCACCTTATCTTTTTAAAAAATCAACTAAAATTTAATTTTATCAAATATCTTAGAGTAATTCCAAGTACCATGGACAGTCAACCATTGAATTGGAAAGCAGAACTTTAGATTAAAAGAAAATAGAAAGGAAGAAGATTCGATCTCCTCTAGGGCGACTAGGGCTGTCAATTTGGCTCGTTGTTCGCGAACAGCTCGTGTTCGGCTCGTTAAGCAGCTCGTGTTCGGCTCGTTCGTTAAG